TAAGACTGTGACAGGAAGTTAATAATATGCTTCAAATTTTATCAGTGAAATATTTAGTTTGATTGCTTTTGGAAGAGAACTGGAAGTATACAGCCTTTGTAATGCTAATGGATTAATGCTAAGAGTCTCCATCTTTGGAATCTTGCCACCTCTTAATAGGCATCTGGATGCATCCTCTGGTTAAGGGAGTCAACCCTATTTTACCATGTAGGCCCTTCAAGGTCACTAACGCCCAACCTGTGGACTGTGGTGTGCACCAGGAAGCCTGGGACCTTGACCAGGTGCTTGCACCTATCCAAGTAGCAAGACCCCTTCAGCCTCTCAGTACCTGTGAGCAACACCTGGTGAGAAGACCAGGGCAGTTCCTGTTTCTGCCCACCTAGTGCAGCTCCAAGAGGAGGTTTCCCAGACACACCAGAGGGTCTCAGAGCCTGACCTGTGCCTGGCGAGGTGGATTTAGCTTTAGAGTTAAGATGGTATCATTAGCTGCGCACAGCGTGACTTCCCACTAATCCTCTCTGCAACTTACAACAAGTTTAAATGTCCATGCATGATGTTATTAACGGGCTTTAGTAAGTGCTTAAGACCCAGATCTCTTTTTAAAGTAATCTCTGAACAAGTTCTAGTGTATCCATCCAACAAGATTAATATTTCCAGCAATTCTGTTGGGGTAAGATGCGTCCTGAGTGCTTGAAGATTAAAGAGGGTAGAGGGGGAAGTTGATCTAGGAAAGGGCCCAGGGCCAAGTGCGCTCATCAGCCTCAATTTGGGAGTCCCAAAACCTTCCTTTGAGCTCTCCTATTGACCAGGAGAATATGAAGAGGTGATGGTGAGAACTTCAGTTGGCAGTTTATCACGAGGTCAAAAAGTGGGGCTGGGGAGTGCACACCTTAACACTGTTATGGATCACAGCCAAGGAAGATGCCTGGGCAATACTTTAGAAACTGTACGCCAAAGAACCTCTGAACCCCAGTAGTTGCAAATGCCAGGAAGGGGCCCTGAGCTGCGAGCTGCCTGTCTCAAACCGAAATCCCGGCGTGACTAAAGGCCGTGACCCATCCACAACCGCAACCCAGGGAATTCTAACCGCGGACCAAAGGGGCGCAGGGGCAGAGCCGAGGTCGCCGGTCTGGGGCTCAGGAGTGAAGAAAAAAAGAAAGGGAGAGAGAGAGAGAGAGAGAGAGAGAGAGAGAGAGAGAGAGAGAGAGAGAGAGAGAGAGGAGGAAGGAAGGAAGGAAGGAAGGAAGGAAGGAAGGAAGGAAGGAAGGAAGGAAGGAAGGAAGGAAGGAGGGAGGGAGGGAGGGAGGAAGGAAGGAAGAAGGGAGGGAGAGAGGAAGGGAGGGAAGAAGGGAGGGAGAGAGGGAGGGAGGGAGGGAGGAGGAAGGAAGGAAGGAAGGAAGGAAGGAAGGAAGGAAGGAAGGAAGGAAGAAGGGAGGGAGAGAGGGAGGGAGGGAAGAAGGGAGGGAGAGAGGGAGGGAGGGAGGGAGGAGGAAGGAAGGAAGGAAGGAAGGAAGGAAGGAAGGAAGGAAGGAAGAAGGGAGGGAGAGAGGGAGGGAGGGAGGGAGGAGGAAGGAAGGAAGGAAGGAAGGAAGGAAGGAAGGAAGGAAGGAAGGAAGAAGCGAGGGAGGGAGGGAGGAGGAAGGAAGGAAGGAAGGAAGGAAGGAAGGAAGGAAGGAAGGAAGGAAGGAAGAAGGGAGGGAGGGAGGGAGGGAGAACGTCCTTCTCCGCCGCAACTATGCACTCCAGGTATAGGGAGACAGTCAAGCTGCGGTCCACCCGGCCGGGAGGCCAGCGGCGCCCAAGGGGCGGAGAGCCGGCTCCAGTACTTGGGCTTACGCAAACTTGAGCGGCCTCCCCGCCAGCTCCCGGGGTCGCCGCGCACCGGCTCCAGGAGCGCGCGCCAAGGCCGGGAGCGCGCGCGCCGGCGCAGCAGCTCGGGCAGCCCGTCTCCTGGGAAACACCAATCAGGAGAGGGCCGCTAGCCGCAGCGGCCGAGGGAGGGCTGGGGCTGCTGGCGGTCACCGGGAGGCGTCTCGCTGCCCGGCGGCGGGCGGGCAGGCAGCCGTTGCCTCTGCAGACAGCCTAGCCCAGTCACTTCTGCAGCCAGTCACCGAGTGGGCTGCCTTGGGCACCGCCCACGCCCTGCACCTTGCATCGCTGTTGCTAAGCCTGGCTATTTTTGGAGCTCAGAACTGCGTTGTGCAGGAGTTCTGCTCAAACCAAGTCAAACCACCGCCACAAGAGATGTGCTTCTCTTCGAACAATTAGGGCTCAGAACTTCGTATTTCCCTGAATGGGGTCAATTGTCTTCACTTTTAAAAGTCCTACTCCCTACAGTCTCGTAGTTGGTGGCAAAGTTGAAAGCCACAAGTTCCTGCCTCAGAGAAAGGGCATCACCTTGCAAACAAACAAACAGACAAACAAAAAAGTGCACCAACTCTCGCGGCCCTAATTGATATCAAGAGTCATCACCGTATACTTTTTCATTTCTGTTCACCATCTTTAGCATTATTTGAGCAATAAGTCGGATTTCCAGAAGAAGCAAAATGGGTTCTTCAAGTAGATACTTTCTGTTGATCTGTATTTTCTGTATTAGGTTGTTCAACTTATCCTAAGAAACTGATGAACATATAAAATAGTACCACAAAGCTATCTGTTAAAATCTGAGACATTGAAGAACTAACTTACATGCCGCATCGCTGTATGACTTGTTTAACTCTCCAGAAATACTAGTGCTAAAAACTATTGACCCACTGCGTGGATGTATTTTACTCAACGTTTAAAGAGCACTTTGGTGTTGCCCATCTCATCACCTCTACTTCCAGCACCTATTCAGATGCTACATTTTTATACTGTGTTTTACTTACTCTACTTAGGAAAAAGATAAGTCATGGAAATGGGAAAAGGGTATCAATTTTCCTAAGACACAATGACATTTCCAGAGGCACAAATCCACAGAGAAAAGCTTGACCTTCACTTTTTTCCCAAATAAGAAAATAATTTTAATGGAAACATTAAAAACATAGGCCTATTAATAGAAAACATTAAGAAAACTTGAAGAAAATGCACTGAGGGAAAATAATTTGACTACTGAAAAATTTACTTCATTGCTGTGTATATTAATGGTCACTGCAATAGGGTGGGTGCTAGCAGTGAATTTGCGATCTGCAAGAATTTTGCAAAAGTCTTCCTATATATTTTTTTTATTTCATTCAATTTCCATTTTTGTCATGAATTGTCTTTCTGTGAGCTGTTTTATGTGACAGTTTTAATAAATTTCATTGAGTGAACTTGTTAATTTCTATTACAAAGCAGGACAAGAAAAATAAGTTGGTTATATCTTCATCTTTACTTCTATATGTGTCACTTTATTGGCCTATTTCTAGGCATCTCATGAAAAGATTCTGGATGTCAAAACCTGCAGTTAATGTTCTTGTTTAGAAATACACAAAATAATACCTTTGACGTTGGCAACTCAGATGTATTATTCAGCAAAACAGCAATTACTCATTGTTTTGCACTAACATGTTAAGAACTATGCGACACTTGGTGACACAATAACAAAATTGCAAAGTCGATTCTATTTAAAATAGACATCCTAATAAAACATACAGTCAACTCCTTTTACTCTTTTTGAACTGTTTTTGTTTCCCTCCCTGACTGTTTACAGTCAACTACATTTGTGTGAATGCTAAACTTAAGTATAATAATCGATTCACACACATCATGAGAAAAGTTAGGAAATAGGGAGGGGTGTTGCGTGAAGAGGAGGAGCACCATTCCTGAGGTGTGGGAATGGTGCATGTTTTCGGAGATGAACATCTGAGATGTTCTTTTGCAATGTCACTCACAGTGGCAAATGATGAAAGAGCAGACTTTGCCAAGACCTAGAGGAAATTTTAAGTTAGATTCACACTAGTCATTTTAAGTAAAACTGAAAACAATAAATCCCACGTAGAGTCTGTTTCGATTTAAGGAGACTTCAGGTTGGACTAGTTATTCTATCCTATTTTAATTGAGAAACATTTTTACCACTTGAACTTCCCAGTAATGAATTCCACTTTTCAATCCAGCCTGCAGCATGAATTAAAGTCCCCATCAGAAAATTAAAATGTTTGTCCAGAGGAAATAACTTCTAAATGAACTCTCTTTCTTTTAGTCTCTTTTTGTATTTTCCGCAATGTAACTCCTCGCAATGATATTAGTTCTAGTGTGGGAAAATATTATAATTGAGATCTGGAAAGTTATTTGCAGACTTCAAGTTTGTCTTTACACTGTGCTGACATTTAGTACAGCCCTGGTGAGGAAAACAATACTACCATTCATAGCTCTAGACGTAGATTTCAATCGACTTAAGCGGGCACAATGAAACTTGGTCATTCACTGGTTACCCATATTGTGTTCTCAAATTTTCTCTCAGCAAAAGTATAATGACTCAGTATTGTATGGATGCATAGACAAGGGCTCGGAACAAGAGACACTAGTTTTGTCTGACGGTGTGAGAAAGTCGTGAAGGGATCTTTTCTTCCAGATGGTGTTAAATTCAGCTGCCTTTTTAACATTGGCCTTGCACAGCAATCTGCTGCTCCCCTCTCACAAAGACCGTGTTTGGTTCCCACTAGTTAACATGCATACTCACGCAACCTGCAACTTCACTCCAACTGTTTTACAATGCAGTGGTATGCTAAATAAACTTGATCCGGTTTCTGCCAATGTTAAAAAAACTAGCTTTCAAAGAACTACTTAACTGATATTTACACTTCTTTTGACTTAAATGTACATGCCTGTGGAATATTTCAGATTTCAAAGAAATATCACCTTATTATAAGGTCATTGCAGAGTTATCTCTGACACCCTTCAGCCCTGCTCAGACACAGTACTTTTCTCCAACACACACAAATAAAACAAAATGTCAGAAGTTTGATGTGTAATAGAAAAAAGAAAAATTGGGACATGTTGCAGCAAGAGCAGTGGAACAGCAAAAAATAAAATGAAAATAATAACATTGAAATGTATTTTTATTGATTGGTAAATCATGTAACATTAGTATGATACAAAGCAAGTTTGATATGACAATGGCAAACACATAATTATAATATTGTTTATTTTCCTTAGATGTTATATTTAACACATTTACATAAAAGACCAAGATGTAGGCAAAAGCTTCAGTAATTTGACTCCATTGAGTGCTTTCAGTAAACAATAGGTTCCCCCAGCAAACATCTTATTGCCTTAATTGAACCTCCTTGAGAAAGAAAACCACACACTTTGTAATGTAAATGTTAATTGTACTAGACAATGGTTCTAGGTAAATAGCACCCCTGGACATGAAGTAAATGAAAGGAATACAGGCACTTAACAATGAAAGGTTGTTTGCACAAACAGTGCTTCAAATGTAAATAAACAAGGGTCTCCTCAACGGTCACTACAGTAGTAAAACTTTGGCACGTGCTCAGAAGCCAAATCGAGAATTTACATTATTAAAGTCTCTTAGAGTTTCTCAGTGAAACTAACGGTGGTTTTACAAGCTTCTCCAGAGTGAAGTTTTACAGCCTTGAAACCACAAAGAAAACAATGCTACTTTTTTTTTTTTTGGTGGGGGAGGGAGTGTATATTGGAGATATGGGATTGTCAGTAATCTAGGCCAGGTGGATGAGAATAGGCCTTTTTTGTTTTTATTAACCATTTGCTTATTGAAATTTGTATATTGCCTATACAAATATTTGCTTGGTGGATATAGAAAAATATAAGGACTTTCATGAAAAGATTACCTTGGGGAAATTCCAAAGCACCAAAGTGTCTGCTAAAAACAGTCACTCTTAGAGTAAATGTAAATGGCTATTTAGAACACATCTGAAACCATACCAGAAGAAACCCATAGTGTTATTCTAGCCAATCTACTATAATTTTCTTTCCATGTATGTCTCCTAGCATAAGTAGGTCAAGTTCCTAATGTATCATGTTAAGAGGTAACCAACTTGATGAAGTGATAGGAATGTTACAGGGCCCTCTGTATTTTCGAATTAGAACCCACCTCCAACAAAAGCCAAAAGGTCCATCACTAGGCCCAAAATAGGGACTGAGTTTGACATGAGGGGGCAGGAAGTAAGGGAACTTTCTTTGAGCTACTTTCTGCTAGTTTTCTTAAAATATTGAAACTTTCCACCAAAAAGAAAGACAAATTTAATTATGGTCAGATTAGACAGCGGGTATAAAATTAACTGAAACAGACAGTCATGCAACAGCTACAGACCAGTCGGTGCTCCCATTTGGGAGGCTGCAGATGGCTGTGGGTGGGAAATGCCTCTACTTTCTTAAGCGATGGAGATGAGTATGGTGTGTGCACTTGATGTTTTTTTCATACCCCCACCCCCCAACAGGGCTGTCCGTCATAGGCTGCCGGCCCCGCTCTACCGCTTGCCCCCGAGCGTGGGAATCAGAGCGTCCTGCCGTTCACATCTCCTGCATTCCGTTTAGCGGAATCAATTAGGCAAGACAGACCCTCAGATTCCCCACCCCCTTTCCATTTTTGTCAGGTCTATATACGTCCTAATTATTTCAGTTTGGGATGCCAGAGCTGTTTCCTGGATAGACCTGATCATCCTTAAACAAAAAGAGAGGAGGGCGCACACGTGGGTTGTGGCGTAAATGTCACTTTCATTTCCAATGCTAGGCGCAGAGTAAGACAGAACTTTTTTTTAACACTTTGACAAGAGGGGAGGCGATCTCGTCTCCATCATGTCTTTCTGCTTCAGTAGCTTCCTCAAGGAAACCCTCTTGGAACAGAGAAGCATCTGTCCTTGTATTTTGAATAGAAGAATAAAAATCAGCCTTTGCTTTTTTTCTTCCTTTTCATTTCCCTGCTAGCTCTATGTCCTTAGTAGATATAAATTATTAACTTTCCAGTATAAACTTTTCTGAAAGTCTAATTTCATATGATTTGTCATACAACCCAAATGGCAGGTCATTTCCAAGCATAATCTTCACATTTTTCAGGAGAGGGGTCCTCAGAAAGAAGCTGCCTCAGTCTATGTATTATAGAATCATTTATAAACTTGTTCCCAGACATTTCTACAACTCTCTACCAAAAAAATAATAATAAAAGCCTTCATATACAAACTTTTACCTTACAGTGGGACCAGTCCTACACACACATCTTTACTCATTCACTCTATACAATTCTCCTTCCCAGCTGTAACAATCCCTCGAAAATCATCTGACCCCATTGATATTTTGGCATATATGTGTCACTCAGCTTCCTCTAATCCCATTTTAATCATAAGGAGAAATCAAAATAAAAACAAAGTTAGATTCAATAAGTATTCCTGACCTTTCTGGTTTTTACTGTCTCTTGGGTGCAGTCTTTCATTCTCACACGCTCCCCGGCGACCTTGAAGGAGTTTTTACTTTCGGTTATCTAGCTTTATGAAGACCAATACACTCATACAGCTAGATAACCAAAGATAACAACTCGCTTCCCTCACACGCCTGTCTTCCTCTGGCCAGACTCCAGCTCCCGGTCCTTTTCTGCCAGTATCGAAGAATAGTCCTCCTGGAACTTGCCGCACCGAAGATTCCTCCGTGGCTGTAAATAGGACCTGGTTTCTGTTTGTGTGTGCGGCTAAAACATCCAAACGAGATCTGTTGCTTTCAAAGTTTATTCCGAACTTTTTTTTTCTTTCAGCAAGTAATCTCCGGCAGCGTTAGGCAACAATTCAACTATTAATATCAGAAAATAAAAGCAGCTATTAAGGTGCAGCAAGCTGTTACGAATGAGCAGCAGCATCCGTCCCTTCACAGGCCTCTATTTGCATTGTAAATTGCTTCATTCTCACGCCAGACTCTTTTGGCCTTGCTCTATAGAGACGTTTAAAGCCAACGGCAATTTCCAGTGCAGGTTAAGGAAGAAGGAAGAAAAAAAAAAACCACATTCCATTCTATAGAAGAAGTGACAGCTGATTCAGGGATCTGCTCCTGATCCTTTGGGTTAGACACCATGAGCTTTTTTTTTACCAAGCGGTGGCAGCTTGATTGCACATATCTTGTGTGTATGTGTGTTTTAGGGGGAAGATCCTCGGTTTCCCAGGACTTCTAGGCTGGGGAGAAGATGCCGTCTTTCTGGCGGACTGCTGCCCCCGGTCTGAAAGAAGGAGAAAAGGGCCATCATTGGAGGGGCTTTCACTGCCAAAACGTGGACCAGCCAGGCAAGGTCAAAGGTTCGAGACCGCGGGAGACCAAGGTAATGATGATGTCATGAGAAATCTCAAGTACATGGTTATTGATATGCATCAATGGTCAGCCAACTGCCCCAAGCCCAGAGCAGCGCCCGCAGCATTGCAACAAGCCTTATTTTCTCAGTCAGTGTCTCTTCCATCTCTTCTGCTAGCACTACCGACAGCTCCTGGAAAAGCAACCCACAGCCTTTCACTTCCTCGGTGCTCTAATATCCAAAGACTGGAAGAAATCTCTCTCTAAGGACAGATAAAAGCATTTCAGATCTGGGGAACGTCCTTGCCTGCATTTCTCTTCTGGCAGATTGCATGGGCAGACAGATGGAAGGCACTTTGCTATTGCTTAAAGCAAGGCCTTGCTTTCTGGGCTTGGGAATCAGATCTGTATTGCGCAGAGAGTCGATGGGTGATTACATTGACAATTTGCTCTGGTGTGGTGTTCTTAATGGATTCATAGCTCAGACATGTTTTGTATCTCTGCACCATGGCACTAGCACAGTAGATATTGTTCTGTAAGTTCAAAGTGAATGCTCTAAGCAAGCCCTGACTTCGTCATATTTTTGTTTGTTTTTAATATCTATGCAGGGTGTATGCCTTAGAATGTAACATAGGTAAACACTGCAATGGTAGTTTTGAATACACACAACTCTGAAGCAAAAAAATGCTGGACCTCTGTCTATAGTTTTTTAGACATCGATTTATTTTACAAAAAGACAAAATGCCCTAGCCTTACTTATAAAATTATGGAAAACAGCAATTGCCTTATGGAAATTCAGATACAACACCTGAATGTTAAGAGCACAGCTCTCACCTCAGCTTCCCCACCTCACCTCTACCTAGAAGGGAATATCAGTAATTAAGTACTTGGTCTCAATCCTGTTTTTGTGGGGGGAAAGAGACTTTTCAAAGTGTGAATACGATCACTTAAAATAACTCTTCTCTCTTCTTTGTAAAGGATAATCTATGTCTAAAGCACTTAAAACATAGACAGCTCTACTGGGTGCCCCACAACAGAACATATGGGATACAGTCCACATAATATGCATAGTCACCATGGGTGAACCATCTGAACTGCTCTCCAAGCTTATGAGATATGTTTATAGTGTTACTAGTCATTAAAATACATGTAAAGATGAATGTCATAAATCTTCATATTCACTTCACTCATCACTAGTTTATCACAATACTCTCACTTCTATATGTTGGCTCTTTCCCACCCCCCATCCCTGTCACTAAAATTCTTTCAGAATTAATAGTTTCATTATTCAGTAACTTATTCATTCAATGATTGCAAATATGCTTACCAAATTACATTGGAGAACACATATGTAAATCCTATAGAAAGATTGACAACTAAAGAAAGCCTAACGGCTGAGTCCAATCAAAAGTTCAAACAATATTACACTAATTAAAGGTATGATTGAGTAACAGGATGACAGTGTTTCTCTAGTTTTTTTATTTATTTACTTTTTGGTGAGCATCTTGTCTTAATAATTTAGAAAAGACAATATTATGAAAACAGCTCCTTTACAATTTTTCTTATTAAATTTTGGTAGATGTACAGTTTGAACTGGCTGCATTGGGTTATATATAAAATATACATGGGTTTCATATATAAAATGTACATGCAAACTACAAACTAATTCAGGGAACAAACTCCCAAAGTGATCCTTATTGAGCTATAAGGTCATAACATAAACCACTGAATAAGAACTGAACACATCACTGAGACTCCTGCCACTTCTGACTATATGTAAAATCCTAATTAGCTTTGCTGCCTTGGAAGATTGAGGGTGTTTTGGCCTTTCTTTACAAGACCTAAAAGCAGAATCATTGGTGATTTGGCAAGTATTACATAAAGCAAGCATATGATCAGACAAACTCAATTTCTTAAGTTAAAACCCAAGAAATGCCGGGTATTTTTAGAATAGCATTTTGCTATATATACATCTGGGTGGGAGCTGGTGAAAGTTAGAGCAATGCAATGCATGTATCTCTGGTATATGGTATGTGTGCATCACTCCATATTTGGGTGAAATTGCAAATTAGTGTTGCTTATTTGCACATTTAGCAATTAAATGCATCTGTATAATCTGAATAACTGTCATGAAAACCCAGACAGTGAACATTTGAGATGTTTCTCCAAATAGAAGCAGCAGAAGATACTGTCTTAAAAGAACCCCTTCTAAAGCAATGCCACATACTCAAATCAACTGACTTTAGAACTAGCCTCTATGCAGGTTACAGAGACAGTGGATTCACTAGGAAAGCCCCCCAAAGTGAACACAGACAACACAGTCATCAGAGACAGATTGTTCATCAGCCATATAGCCGATTAAATGTTTTACCTTTCACACAAAATTAAAAATTTTACCTTTCTCGAGTTATGGAGAAATAAGATACATAGCAAGGCATAACATGAAATATCTCATAATTTTGAATATTGCCAAGGTTCATTCATAACTTAGTTATCATATACACTTCAAGAACTCTATTATAATCTAGGATGTGAGACAAGTTGAAACAATTGTGCTCCTCTAGAGAGTCCTAGCTATGGCTGTCACACATTGTCATGAGCAACTGTTAACACCTACACGCTTTTATTTCAGATATCATTTGCCTTTCCAAAGGCTATTTTTCTGAACTACAGAATAACTCTGTGAAATCTGCATATTGAAGGATATGCTGAACTCAAATGTCTTTTCTGCTCATTCTCTAATAAATTTCCATTAATGGACAGTAGATTAGAATGTGATTGCCATGCTTGCTTTCTTTTATAGATATCCAGATGGCTGAAATATGAATGAAACATCCTGGTTTTCTTGAGAATAAACAATATCTGCTTAAATGAAAAGTTATAATTTTCCACATATTTGGATCATAATTATACTGAAACATAAATGCAAATATACCAGATTTGCCACCAATATTTAGAACTCCTCTCTGATTCCCATTTAAACTACAAAATAGTATATAAGGAATTGGCCTATCACCATACTCCCTTTTTAATATTGAGTATGTATGATTCTAATGCATGCAAACCACAGACTACTAATACGATCATGATTACCTTTCTTACATAAAAGTCATTAATTTATAGCAATTTGTATAGTTCAGGCAAGGTACTTGACTGGCTCACTTTCTAATAAAAGTGTTCTATTTTTTTCTGTGTCCTGTATTTCTTTCTTAGAGCCAGCCATAGATTATGTTTGTATTATCCTTGACATGTAATATACAAAGGCTACTTATAGGGGAAAAAACTGATCTATGGAAACTTGGATTTTCCGGGAATTCAATCTATTGCATGAACTTGGAGAAATATAATTGAAGCTTTGCCATCTAGTAAATAACATTCTATTTTGATTTTGTACACGATTTTGACTCTGTCAAACATAAAATTTTAAATTACCTTTGCTTGGTTGGATTGTCTATTCATTGTATGCTTCTTTGTAGTATCATCTGGAAAATAGGCAAGAAAGCAAATGATCACAGTTTTAATATATACATATAATCATATCTGTTTGACTTCATTTAAAGTATTGAATTTGCCTTGATTCTTTAAAATGCCAAGAGATTCCATAAAACCCCAGTACAATGTATCCTACGCTTCAGCACTCACAGGGTTAAATATGCTAATTTGCATTTAAATGGAGACCTGCATGATAATGGGAATGCAAAATATGCAGAATCTGGAGAGGTTTAGGAAATTAATTTTTTCTTTCTTCTTTCTTTTATTTTTAGCTTGGAAGGGAAAGAGACTCAAGAAACATTAGGGATTTGAACATTGTAATCTGCCATACAAAAGAGGAGAGTTCCTCCATATATGAATTTTAAGACTGGAACAAAGTCATATTTTCCAAATGTTTAAGGGACTGAATTTCCAGGCCTTTCAAACAATGGGAATCCCTGGATAAATATCTAATCCATTAGAAAGATGCAAATAGTTTACTGTAAGGCCACAGGACGGTGAGATGTGCATTCATATCTAAGGCTCCTGATTGGCTATTTCCTCCAGTAAATCAATGAATAATGTAAAACCTGATTGCTGTAAAGTGGAAGATTTTTTAAAATTCTCTTCCCCTCCCTCTAGGACTCAATATTCAAGAACTTGTACATTCCCTCAAATAGGCTGCTTTTCTTTTTATGATCTTTAAATGTTTATTGTTATTTTAGAAGGATGGGGTGGGGCTATTGGTTTTGCAAAATGAAAGTACCGCACTGGCTCGATTTTGCTGACTATGGGAGCTCGTTTCCCAAGACAGTGCCCTATAATTACCAGTGCCAAGGTGGGGAAGGAGGATGGCGGGTGGAGGTGATACAGAGAAGGAGGAAACTGGATCTGGCCCGACGTTGTGGGCCCAAGTCAGCTACAGCTCCAAAAGCGTCCCGGCCGTGGCCGTGACTTGACAGGGCCTCGGTCTAACTTCTGATCAATTCCACAGCTGCCCTGACCCCTCAAGCCAGTCCCCCATTCAAGCACGGGGACACATTTGCAAGAGAAAACGCCATAGACAGTAATGCAAATATACTGCCTGGGTTCCCACCGCCCTGGCTGAAACTCACACAATTGCAGGCCACGGAAGGAAGATTTTTGCTTCCTTTAGCCGGGTCCGAGCTCCAGCAAAGAACCGGACCCGCTCCGAAACCAGAAGCGTCAGAAGTCGAAAAGCTCCTCGGAGACCCAACCTAGATAAATCTGATCTTGGGATAACCCTGTAAAGCGGCCTCTCACTCCCCAGAATCCAAAAGGCAAAGAAAAAGCCAAGTGGAGACCATCAGATCCAGACAGTTGCTAAGTTTCTAAGCGGATCCAATCAGACCCTCACTTGACTGCTAAGTAATTAGAACTTTAATTTGAGGAGGTTAAAAGGAGAATAATTCAAAATGCGAGTCCTGAATCCAGGAACACAAAATCCAGTAATAATCTGGCTGTAGGGCGTTGGGGGAACGTCCCATCGTCAACAACACAAAGTTAAATTAAAAATTGGCCCCCCCTTTCCAACGTGAAATTTTCCTGGCATTTCTGCCACCGAGGGTCAGGCTGCTGGATAATTAACAGTGCTGGCCCAGACAACTCAGAAGATCAACAGGTTTAGCATCGAGACAATCAATTAGCAAAGCCCGGGACTGGTCCTGGGAGCGGCCCTCTCCCGGGCTCTGCCGGCATCCGCTCGCGGGCTAGGTGAGGGGCGCCGGCGCGGGGCCGCGGCGGATACTGCTGGCCCGGGGCCGGCGGCCGTGTTGCCGCCTGCGGGCCGCTAGAGTACTCACTTGTTCTCTTCCCAGCGCCAGGGAAGTGTTGCCCCCCAAATCCAGCTGGACAGGAATCGAGAAGCCGGTCAAAATACAAGATCCAGAGTCACAAGGCGGCTGCAGACACAAACAGGCTCCTTTTGGCGTCTCAAAAAAAAAAAAATAATAATAATAATAAATAAATAAAAAATAAATTTAAAAAAATTTAGATCATCCCGCGCCAAAGCACATTTAAAACTGCCGCTCAATTCCACACGGTGATTCTTGCTTGATTGCGCCTAAAATAGTTTAAAAGGATCTTCTTTTCTGGGGAGAAAGATTAGGGTGCAAAAGACGAAGGAGGGGAAAAAAGCCAACTCCCCCCCTCCCCCCCCACATCAGGCACTTGCTCTCTGAGTCTCAGAGTGGAGAGTGAAGTGGTGTGTGAGGCTCGGCAAGTTTTTGGGGGGGCTGTCCAAGGTCTAGTCCAGCCCCCTCTGCCGAGGAGGACGTGCTCTGAAACTCAACCAATTTCCCCACTGCTTTTGTTACTGATGAACTGAAGCCCTATTGTTCATCCATTGCCATGGTCTTTTTCAGTCCCCACACTACGTCCTGCGTTGCCAGAGATAATGAATTTGCACCCAAACCTCTCACAGTCCCCTCCTGACAGACGGAACAAATTAGAAATGTCTCGTCTGAAGGAGGGCAATGGCTACATTTTCCTATTGTAGGATGCAAAGCAGACATTTCTTTGGAAACTTCTTTGGCCTTTTCTACCTTTTATTTTCTTCTCCCTCCTCTTTTTCCTAGTTTTTCCCACCCTGTGACTCTCTTTAAGCTTGTTTCTTAAAAGAATGGTGTCGCCTTGCTCTTCCAGTGCATCATTTTATGTAACCTGAGGATTTTTCTAGCTTCTTTCCTTTCTTTTTTTTTTTTTAAAGGACTCCTTTTACAATTTTACTTACAAACTTAGAGAATGACCTTTTGACTTGCATACTTCATTCCTCCCCCCCCCCTTTTTTTCCGAGAAAGGTCTTTTGGTTCAAGCCCCCCTTCCTCATTCCTTCCCCTGCTTTTGTTGTGGTTGTTAAAGGTGTTTGGCTACAGACAAGCAATCCATTATGAAGATTTTTTTAATTCATTTAATTTTCACCCGAACTATTCAAAAGCTACCAGGGACGCGCCAGAGGGGTCATCTATTTAAGGGAGAGAAAATGCAGGAGTACGTGTATGTGAAGGAAAAGTGTGTGCGTGTGTGTTTTCCAGGGAAAGGCAGAGAGCCGTGGGAGGGTGTGGGTGGGACTTTGCATGGGGAAGGGTGGGGGCCTCCTGGGGAAGGTGGGCTTCCTGGAACACCAGCAGGGAGCTCAGCGCGGGTGCAGGAATCCACCCAGCCGAGGGCGGCGGGAGCCCCTGGGCCTGTTGGCGAGCGCGGACCGACCGCAGCCCGGGCGCGGGTGTCTGAGCGCGCGGCGGCCAGTTCCGAGCCTGCGCGTGTGCCACCCGGGGCGGCGGGAACTGTGTCGGGGGCGACAGGGGACGAGCAGCAAAAATGCAGACGAGGGGCCCGTATGTAAATGCAGCCCGGGGAGGGGACCGGCTCGGCAGGAAGGAGAGACGCGGGTCGGCCCCCCGGCTTTCCCGCCAAGTGCAGCGGGAGGACAGACAACCAAGCGTGTCCGGGGCGGGAGCCCCCGCCCGCCGCGCGCGCCCGCCTCCCGCGCACACGCACACATTGCCCTCGCAGGCGTGGGGCCTGGTCGCCACGACCACGTCAAGAACACAAAGCTTGGGCTACGCGGTGGAACGGAGCAAGGGCAGCGTTGGCAGCGAGGGTAGGACTAGGAAGCCGATACCGCAGCCGCCAGCGCCTTCTTGGCCAGCCAGAGTCTCTGCCCTCCGGGCCCCGGTTCCGCTTGACTCCGGCCTAGCTGAAGTCGAAGACCATTTCTTAGTCGCTAGGAGAGGGTGGCGGGCGGGGGCGGGCGTGCACAGGGAGGTGCCAGCGCCCCCCCCCCCCGCCCCCCTGCCTAACATAAGGGCACGCGCTCTCTGCAGCGCCGGGCCGGAGCGGGGGACTCTAAAGGCCTTCCTGCAGTCTCCAGGAGTCGCTAAGTCCGCACCGTGGCTTCTGAGCCCCAAGTGCAAAACACATCAGACTCAATCTGCCACGGCGGCGCCTTGGGCTGCAGCCACGGAAAGGCTCACACCTCTGTCCTCTCCCTAGACAATGTAATCGGAAGGGCCCCGTTCAGGCAGCTTTCTCCGGCCTCTGCCTGGCAACGGGTCAAACTCATCTCCCGATCTGGAGCTCTGGCCTAAACGGTCCGCAGAGAAGCCCCCGACGTGGCGGTGGAGAGACCCTGACATCTCAGGTCGCTCACAGCGCCTGCCTCGATGCACAGCGGCCCAAACACCTCCGCAAATAGACACACACGCACACACGCCCGTGCACAGACACACGCGCACACATGCACTAAACACACCATTCCCGTTATATTAAAAATGCACGTTATTGGCACGGCTGTTAATGAAGCCGACGTGCCTAACGGGTGCACAGGTAAATCGGAACCCAAACGAGAAGTCCCCACCAGGCTGGGCCATTTACCTCTCCCTACTGGAAACACGTGTAGCTTATCGTGTTTTAGGAATGATTTGCTGTTGTCTGAGGTCTCCACCTCCTCTTCTTGTGGCGAAAAGCCAAAAACAAAAAAAACAAAAACAAAAACAAAAACAACAAAACGACAAAACAAAAAATCCTGTTCCATTGTCAAAATCTTCTTTCTGATAAGCTACCCAAGCATTGGTTCATAGCATTTGGGGGTTTTATTTGGTTTGTTAGCGGCCTTTTTTTTTTTTTTTTTGGTTTGTTGTTGGGGGATGTGTTGTTTTTCTGGGTAAACCAAAAAAAAAAAAAAAAAAGACCGTGTATTGGCGGGGCTAGAGGCGCAGGACTAGAGCATGCGTGTGCGGCCGGAAACTGGCGAGGTTGGAAGCCGGGCGGTGGATGAAGAAGGAGGAGGCTTGCACTTCCCCAGGGTTGGCATGGGCACCCCTGGCCCCCTCGGGCCTGGGCTCCGCCACCGCCGCTGTCGCCGCCGGCTCTCGCGGGCTCTGCCGGCTGCCGCTCCGTGTTTTCCCCCATCCCGGCTTCACGTTCAAGGTTTAGCTGCGAGGTCACGTCCATTGACGTCAGCTCCCAGTCTCCCTCTACGTCCGGCTACATTTACATACATCAAGGAAATTAGGGCATTAAAAAAATATGCAAATCCTGAGCGAAGAGGAGCCGGTGCGTTCCTGGCGCGATCGCCTTTTATTGAAGCTTTTAATTAAAGGGGCCAGTTGGCGAGCCCCTGAAACAACCGCCAAAACCCCCAAAAGAGAAAAATAAACGCTGTAGCCTTCGGGAACGGTTGTTTCGGCTCCTGTTCTGTGGGCGGCTGAGGACCGCCGGCTGCCCGGCTCCGAGAAGAACAGGTTAGAGGAGGCAGCTCCAGCCCATGCATAATCAGGGCTCCGCGGCGCCTCCATTCTTTCCTCCTCCTCCTCCTCCTCCTCCTCCTCCTCCTCCTCCTCCTCCTCCTCCTCCTCCTCCTCCTCCTCCTCCTCCTCCTCCTCCTCCTCCACCTCCACCTCCTCCTCCTCCTCCTCCACCTCCTCCTCCACCTCGTCTCCTCCTTCTCCCCTCCTGCTCCCGTTGGTTCCAGCGTGTATTATTTTTAATACTGATGCATATGTAAAGATATATTTGCATTTTTTAATTCGCGAAAAGTTCAGGTTGTATGGTTTTGTTGATTCTACATCCCCCCGCCCTTTTTTGCTATTTAATGTCTATCCGTCTCCTTTTTTGCTGTCTGTATTTTTTGGCGAGTGTCTGCTGCAGTCTTTTGCTAGATAATATGCACAGTTGTTTCCCTGCTTCTATTTATTTAAGGCATCAAATATGCACATCTGTCATGTATGTAATGCCAGCTGTGTAGCCTCCTGGTTTGGTCATAAAAGAAAAGACACTTTTTTTTCTTTCTTTCTTTCTTTCTTTCTTTCTTTCTTTCTTGTTATACCTCCTCGATGGGCTGAAATGCCCATTGCTCCAGACTCAAAGTTTGTCTAATTAACTTCATTTTGCAAAAACACTGCTCGGGCCAGTGCACTTGAGATACTGTATGTATAAGGGGAAGTGATTCTGAAGATTTCTAAAGAATTGTTGTGCTGATTAACTGAGAGATGCAGTATTCATTCACTGCCCTATTGCTTCCTAGCATTTCTGACTGCTCCCCCCTCCCCATCTATTTTAAAATGTGTAGACACAGCAATGGACAGCCTTCTGCAAGGAAGACATTTTCAACCATGTTGTACGTTGTACCTTATATGCTCCATTCAAAATTTACTGGGTTTCATTTTTATCTTAATATGGCTGTTGCAAGGCCCATTCTCTTGATTTTTTTAAATAAAGAGGCAACCATAATTCCAGATTTTGAATGAAAAGAAATACACAAAACAGTTGACTATATCAAGCCACTTGATTTGCCTTAAAATATACAGGCCTTGAGTTAGCTCTCAAGCAAGGCTTATCTTGTTTATAGGGTGGCATTTTCCTTTCTAGCAATATATCATTTCAGGACAATGGCTTTTGAGAAATATACATATGTAAAAACTCCACTTTTTTCACCCCAAAGCTATCATTTTAAAAAACTGTATTCATAATTGCATAGCTACAGAGAACAGCAAATATGCACACATGCAGCTTATTCAATTAAATAAGTCCAAATACATTCACAGGTAATTAGTCTTCTTATGAATGACTTACCTGCACTGATACTTAAGGCAAGACTCAGTCCTCCCTAGTAGCGTTCATGTATAAATATTCACATGTATTTCCCCCATTTCAAGCCTACAGCTACATGCCATCTTTTATGCTAGACTATCCTGCATCCATTTGTAGCACCCATAATTCTTATGGCATTTCAGCCTTACCTCTGGCTGTAGTTTTTCCAAGCCTACACCAAAGTGCTCATATGATATGTCACCCAATAAAAAGTGGTCAGATGGCAACACGTA